GGGTTGATTCGGGCGTCATGGGTCTCTAGTGTTGTTCTACAGAAGGTAGCTTGCATTTCTTTTCATAATGACCCTCGCGTGGGGTGAGGGAAATGGCCGAGCATGGTTGGGGCCGCGCGCGGTGCGAGAGCAGGCAGAGCCCCTGCGTTGGTTCCTCTTAAGCTCTTCTCCATACCTTCTCCACTCATTGTAGGAGCTGGAAGCGATCAAAGCTCGAGTCAGAGAGATGGAGGAAGAAGCTGAGAAGTTAAAGGAGCTACAGAATGAGGTAGAGAAGCAGATGAATATGAGTCCACCTCCAGGCAATGGTGAGTAACTGGCGGTTGCACGCGGAGCCGGGGTCCTCGGATTGGAAGGGTTGTGGGAGCACGGGTTATATGGGATTAGATGGTCCGCACCTTGGAGCTGCTTGGCTGAGCAATTACTAGTCAGGTGCCGGCGGTCATAGTCCATTGTGTATTCCTCTGACCTTTGTGGGACAGAAGCTATGTTTTGGTGATGGTAGTCTTGTGCTTCCCTTTGTCCCTGTTACAAATATATTTCTCATTGTTCTTAGTCTACCTCTACGCTTTGTGGAGGTTGCCAGCTGGCATTTGACCTTCAAGTTTAATAATTCTTCCTTAAGTTGGAGACCCTTTAGTTAGGAGTCCTGAGATAAACTGCTCAGCTGCAGGAGCTTCCCCATTAACCAAAAAATGTCAAGACTCAGCCCATTTAATTTTGTTCACTTTTCAAATCATTTCAACCAAAGCTATTCAGTAGGGACTTGATTTCGGGACAGGAAGGGATTCCTGTACTGTTTTCTTTGTGTGTTTTTTTAAGCGAATGTGTTATTTTGTTTCTTAATCTGTCTAATACTTAGCATCTCCTGTGTGCCAGGCACTATTCTAGGTAATGGGTGTAGCAAAGAATGGACCAAAATCTTCATCTTCACTAGTGGTGGTGGTGGTGCGTATATTGGTCAAATAGAAAACAAGTGTTTTCTTCTGATTCTTTTTTTATTTTCAAAGCTGGCCCAGTGATCATGTCTATTGAGGAGAAGATGGAGGCTGATGCCCGTTCCATCTATGTTGGCAATGTATGTACTAGGGCCCAGATTGGGATTGGTGGGAGCTCTTATCTTGGGGAGTTATTTAATAGGAGTCGTGAAAGGAACATTTCCAAGTCTTAGCCAGTTTAACTCAGTAGTTAAGAGTGTTTGCCCGCGGACAGAAGGGTCCCGGTCAGTTCTGACCAAGGGCATGTACCTTGGTTGCAGGCTCAGCCCCAGTCAGGCCGCATGCAGGAGGCAGCCAATCCATGTGTCTCTCTCACATCGATGTTTCCCTCTCCCTCCCTCTTTCCGTCTCTCCCTTCCACTCTCTCTGAAAAAGCAATGGAAAAAATATCCTCAGGTGAGGATTAAAAAACCATCTCCAGGATAGGTGGTGGATTTGGGGGTGTAGGGGGAGGGTTGGGAGAAGGTAAAAGGTAATAGCAATCAGCAGAGCCTTTGGGCTTGGAAAGAAAAGAGATTAATTAGTTCCTTAGAGAACCAGATTTGATGTGCCTTAGTCTATATGGATGGCCTACCCCAAAGGCTAAACAGTGTATCTATTGAGATGGGAATTTGTCCAGTACCTTTTAAATGTACCCCACCACACACACACATATACCCCCACAGGTGGACTATGGTGCAACAGCAGAAGAGCTGGAAGCACACTTTCATGGCTGCGGTTCAGTCAACCGTGTTACCATACTCTGTGACAAATTTAGTGGCCATCCCAAAGGGTAAGTACGGAAATATATTGGGGTCATTTTAATCACAATTTTAAAATAGATTATTTTATATTAAGCACTAAGTTAACTTGTTCAAACAAGTGGTCTTTGTCTTTTAAGATAAGGCATTAATGTTGATGTACAGAGGTGGGCAAAGGTAGGTTTACAGTGACTTGTATGGAAAGATGTATAGTAGGAGAACGAACTGTTTTGAGTACTCACAACTGTAAACCTACTTTTGCCCACATTTGATATGCAGAGGTTGCACATAAATACCTTCAGAAGCCAGACAAAACAAAGATGAAGGCTAGGTATGGATGGGATCATGAACTAGAAGGGGAGGGACAGCTTTTGCTTGGCCCTAGCTGGTTCCACCACATGGAAATTCAGGTCTTGTATACCCTATTTTATAATTTTCCAAGAGTAGTTGGAAATCTTGATTAAAATTTTCCTTTAGATTTTGACCAATAATTTAAACGTGAACACATTGTACCCAAACAAAGTATGCCTGCAAGTTGGATTTGACCTATGAGCTACTATTTGCATTCGCAGATAGCTAAAGTGACACTTTTTTCAGGTTTGCATATATAGAGTTCTCAGACAAAGAGTCAGTGAGGACTTCCCTGGCCTTAGATGAGTCCCTATTTAGAGGAAGACAAATCAAGGTAAGCCCCATGCTCATTGCTATTTTGGTTCTATGTAAACTCTTCAGGTTGACTGAAGCTCTATGTTGTACATCTTTCACTCTCAGGTGATCCCAAAACGAACCAACAGACCAGGCATCAGCACAACAGACCGGGGTTTCCCACGAGCCCGATACCGTGCCCGGACCACCAACTACAATAGTTCCCGTTCTCGATTCTACAGTGGTTTTAACAGCAGGCCCCGGGGTCGCGTCTACAGGTCAGGATAGATGGGCTGCTCCTCTCCCCCGCTTCCCATGAACCCTGTATGCTTCCTTCTCTCCTGATCTGAGGAGCCTCCCTCCCTAACCCTCCCCTTGGTCTCCAGGGATTTGGTCTCCTGCCTGTGCAGGGTGAGGAAGGTAGTTGCAGGCCAGGCCAGGAGGCCAGTCTCGTCATCTTTTTCTGGAGCAGGAATTGGTGATAAGGGCTGGATCTCTCCACTCTGTTCTGAGAGATGCGTCTTCCCCCAGCATGATTTTCCTTGAGAGTTGGAGGCAGTGAATGGGTTTACACAGGAGGTTTGGAAGAACAGGGCCTCAGAGCAGTGAGAATTACTGCTTGGACATTTTTACTTTTCCCAGTTAGGAAGAGGTTGACGTTTGAATGTCCCTTGGAAGAATACCAGAGGCTAGTTGATTCTCTTTCAACAGCCATGTGGGAGGATATTGAGATATTTACTCTTTAACCGAGCCAGTCTTTTGCAAGGTTAATTTTCTCACTGAGCCTAGTGTGCTGCCCATGTTGTTGCTTTGCTTTACCTCTGTCTCTTTTCATTTAAATAGGTAAGTTAGGCATATAGACGTGGGCTTTTCATAATATTTGCCTGTCTGCTCCCATGAGTTAGGATCTGTTGTTCAGGGCCTGGGGTTTAAGAGCTGTGGAGAATTGAGAACTGTACAGAGTCCTTTTTCTTGCTCCTTTGTCTCAGATGCACTTCTCTATTGCCACTGTTTGGAGAAGTATTTTTTTAATTCCCCCCTCCCATTTGCCAGCTGTGTCACTGTTTCTGGGATTGTGGGGTCAGTTTTAGGACACTTGGAAATTTCTTTCCCCCCTTCCCTTCACAGTAACTGGGGCGAGGGCCCATGGGGAGGGGCTTGTACTGAACTATCTAGTGATCATGTTAACACCTAACTCTCCTTCTTTCTTCCAGGGGCCGGGCTAGAGCGACTTCATGGTATTCCCCTTACTAAAAAAAGTGTGTATTAGGAGGAGAGAGAGGAAAAAAAGAGGAAAGAAGGAAAAAAAAAAGAATTAAAAAAAAAAAAAGAAAAACAGAAGATGACCTTGATGGAAAAAAAAAATATTAAAAAAAAAAAAAGATATACTGTGGAAGGGGGGAGAATCCCATAACTAACTGCTGAGGAGGGACCTGCTTTGGGGAGTAGGGGAAGGCCCAGGGAGTGGGGCAGGGGGCTGCTCATTCACTCTGGGGATTCGCCATGGACTCGACTCAACTGCGCAAGCTGCTCCCACTGTTTCCCTGTCCCACTTCACCCCTTTGGGGGCTGCTCAAGGGTAGGTGGGCATGGATGGTAGGAGGGTTTTTGTTTTTTTTATAACCCAGGGCTCTGGAGGACACCAAACTGTTCTGCTTGTTACCTTCCCTCCATCTTCTCCCTCACTTTCACAGTACCCTCCTGCCTGCTCCTGTCCTGCCAGGTCAACCACCCACCCCACCCCTCTTTTCTGGCTCCCTGTTCCTTCAGATTGCCTGGTGATCTATTTTGTTTCCTTTTGTGTTTCTTTTTTCTGTTTTGAGTGTCTTTCTTTGCAGGTTTCTGTAGCCGGAAGATCTCCGTTCCGCTCCCAGCGGCTCCAGTGTAAATTCCCCTTCCCCCTGGGGAAATGCACTACCTTGTTTTGGGGGGTTTGGGGACTTATTTTGTTTTTCAGGTTTTTTTTTTTGTTTTTTTTTTTTTGTTTTTTTTTTCTTTGCTTTTTTTTTCCCTTTTATTTGGAGGGAATGGGAGGAAGTGGGCACAGGGAGGTGTGGGAGGTGGATTTTGTTTATTTTTTTAGCTCATTTCCAGGGGGTGGGAGTTTTTTTTAAATATGTGTCATGAATAAAGTTGTTTTTGAGAATAAAAATTGTTTGGCCTTTTGAGTGTAAGGAATATTTATCTATCTTCCTATTCTCTCATATCTCAGGTGGCTGTTAATTCTCCTTTGTGAAAGTGCTGGTGTGGAAGGGAAGTTCTCACGAATTAAGGAGTAGGAGTTGTTAACTAGCAGCAACATTATGTGTTTAGTTAATGATAGTTTTCTGGATAGCATGTAGCCCTGATTGGAATTTGAGAGGTAAATTAAATGAGTTTGGGAAGTAAAAGAATGGCCAGATTAGAATGATTTAATAGCAATTCTGTGTGTGCTTCTGATAAAACTTATGTGCAAATGAAGTATCCACACCAGCAATACTAGATTCGTAGACGGGGGTCTTGGTAGCCTATTCTGCCGCCTTTACCCCATAGTAAGCTTAAGAAAAATAACATTTAGCTAACAGACAATTGCAAAACATATTGTCTTAGCCATGCAGTGACCACATGATACCAGCTAACTTATTTTGGGTCATTCCATTAACATGGACTTCAAAACCAGCTTTCATTGTTTTAGTTTCCTTAAATTTAATGGTTTAGTTACTTGGTCATATTAATAACCTAATTTTCCATTTTCTAATGTCAGATTGGTCTTAAAATCCTTGGGTGCTATAATTACCCCACTCAAGCCTTCATAGATTCTCCATTACGTACAGGGTTTCAAATATTTTAAACTTCCTGCATGTGCCATTGACTCATGTTCTCAGGATGTTTTGTTTATTGTCATTGCCTCAGACCTAGACTCGCCAATAATCATAGAAAATGGCTCTGTTCTGTATCCACGGATCCTTAACCCACTTTGTGTTCTGAATTCTCAGGTGGATAGTTGACCACTTAATTTAGCATTTGATCGTTTATTGTACTACTTTATGTGACTTGTTAAGCATTTGAGGGTATGCCTTTTAACTAGATTCAACTAAAACTGCTTTAATCTGAGTGTGGAGACGTCTGCAGAAACTGATTAGCAAGGGGCTGGATAAAGTGTTACTTTACTGGGAGTAGCTTGATGCCGTTAATGCTGGGAAGGTCTCATGTATCCACCAGGGGGCGCTGAGTGGCTATCAAAAATCCCTACAAATCTTGGATCTTGGAGGATGAATGTCATTATTTGCTCTTCTTTGTTTTTAGTTTTGTATGTTTAGTCAGATTCTTAATATCCTGTCCATTCTCTCTATTCTACTTTACCTGCTTGAGCAATCCCCTCATCTCCACTGCAGTGGGCTCCTGGCAGATGTCTCTGGCTCCAAACTTCAAAGGCCTTAGCAGAAAGGCCTTTATGTTGTCACTAGTAGTATGAGCTCCAGTGTGGACCTGAGGCCTTTTCCAATTTGATCTTGATGAAATTTCCCTGCCACATCCATGAGTTTTACTTTATTTTCATGTATTGCCCGTGCTGTTCCTCAGGCCTGCTGTGTCCAATGCATCTATTCTATCAGTATCATAAACCAAGCCCCACAGTTGAGAAACCTTTCTTGATTTAGAATGAATCACTGAGTCACCTCTGCATTCAGGACAAGTTGTTCCTATCTCTAGTACTTAATTCATGGCTTTGTAATTAAGATGTTTATATCCTGTTTCTCCACTAGACTGCAAGCTTCTTGAGGGCATGGATTGTGCCATTGTAACAGCTCACAGTGCCTGCCACTTAGGTGCTTAGAAGATGTTAAGTAATAGGTCAGTTTATCTCGGATCCCTTTATCCTGAGCCTACTGGTTCCTATCCTTATAGGAATCAGATTTTCAACTTTACCTGGTCTTTTTCTCTGTAGCAGCATCAGTAATTTTAGAGACAGTGGCACTGGAAAGTTAGTTGCTTTCCTTGGGAAAGATTGGTTACTTTTCTGTCAATCACTCCTGATAAGCTCTCTCTTAAAAAGGAATAGGAATGAGCCCAGTCTTACTGGGAATCTGTAGGAGGGAAGTGTAAAGGGGAGAGATTGGGAGAGCCTGTTTACAAGATTTCTCTGGGGTGGGTCTGAGTCAGAGATCCTTAGACTGTAGGTGATAAAATGAGTGAAGACAACCCAGTGCTTTTTCAGGTAGGATTTGCGTAACCTGACAGCAATAGAGAAGATAGGTTGCTAGGTTTTTTCAATGGCATAATAACTTTCCTTTTATGTATGGTTTAAATGAGTAGCCTTTCTCAAATCATGACATAATTTTTGAATGTCTTTCAACCCTGTTAATTTCTCATGCCTTTCCCCCCTTTTTTATGCCTATGATAATCATTTACCAAGTACTTTTCAAGTGCTGCACACTGTTTTAGGTGCTAGAATTTGTTACAGAAAAAGTCCAGCCGGTGTGGCTCAGGTTGAATTTCGTCTCATGCACCAAGAAGAGGTCACTGGTTCTATTCCTGGTCAGGGCACATGCCTGGGTTTTGAGTTCCATCTCCAGTAGGGGGCGTGCAGGAGGGAGCAGATGGATTTTCTCTCTCATCAATGTTTCTTTCCCTTTCCCTTCATCTCTCTCTAAACAAATTTAAAAAGTAAGGAAACTAATTTTATTAGAAAGTGTCAGTTTGCCATACCTCTGACTTGCATCTCACCAAAAAACTCTATGGAGTTTGTTTTTTTATATAATTCACATACCATAAAATGTGTCTTTTAAGTGTACAATTCAATGGTATTTATATACATAATTTTCCCTCCCCCCAGCCCCTAGCAACCACTAGTTTACTTTTTTCTCAATGGATTTGCCTGTTCTGAATATTTTATATAACTGGAATTGTATAATATGTGGCCTTATGTGTCTAGCTTTCACTAAGCACAGTGTTTTCAAGATTCATCCATGTGGTAGCATACATCAATAATTTGCTCCTTTTTTATGGCTGAACAATATTTCATTGTATAGCTACACCACATTTTGTTTATCCAGTCATCAGTTGATGACATCTGGGTTTCCATTTTTTGACTAAGGAATAGTGCGGCTACAAACATTTGTGTATAAGTTTTTGTGTGAACATACCTTTTCATTTCTCTTGGGTATATGCTTAGGAGTGGAGTTGCTAGGTCTTAAAGTAACTATGTTTAACATTTGGAGGAACTGCCAGGCTGTTTTCCAAAGCAGCTGCATCATTTTATTTATTTATTTTATGTTACCTAGAGGTTTTTTAAAAATTTTTTATTGCTTTCAGAGAGAGAGGAAGGGAGAGGGATAGAAGAATCGATGAGAGAGAATCAATCGGCTGCCTCCTGCACACCCCCTACTGGGGATCAAGCCCACTACTTGGGCATGTGCCCCGACTGGAAATCGAACCCAGGACCTCTGGGTTCATGGGTTAACACTCGACCAGTGAGCCACACTGGCCAGGTGAACCTGCCCCCTTTTAGTGTATGGACGACGTTCCAAACAACAGTCCACCAGCCAGGGTGCTGAACTATTTAATTCTAATAGTTTTTTTGTGTGGATTCCTTAGGACTTCCTATATACAAGATCATGTCATCTACAAATACAGAGTTTTATATTGTCCTTTTCATTCTGGGTGCCTTTTATTTCATTTTCTTGCCTCATTTTCCTGGCTAGAAGAACTTCCAGTACAATGTTGAAGTGGTGAGAGCATGTATCTTTGCCTTGTTCCTGATCTTAGGAGGTAGGCTTTTATTAGCCTTTCACTGATAAATATGTTAGCTGTGGGTTTTTCATAGGTGCCCTTTATCCCATGGATGTTAAAAATAAACATGTTGTTCTCCATGCACACCATGTTCTGTTATGCCTCTAGGCTTTGCATTATTTCTTCTCTTTTCTGTCCCTGGCAAACTCAAGGTTCAATCCAAATATCAGACACTTTCCTTGACTGTCTCCAATAGAGTATATCCGTTCATCTTTAGAGCTGCTACAGCAGTTTTTACATTTCTTTGCATTTTTCATACAAGATTGTAATGATTTGTCTCAGTTTTCTGAGCTCTCATAGGCAAGGACCAGAGCCCTTCCCCAGATTTGAGGCAGCACCAGACAGTAGTGGATAATCAGTAAAAATTGGTTGGTTGAAGGCCAGGCTAGGTTGAAAGAGAGGAATGGGAGTGGCCTTCATGGCCTTCATATAACTTTCATTTTTAAAGTAGGTTTTTATTAATTTCAGAGAGAGGAAGGGAGAGGGAGAGAGAGAGAGAAACATCAAGGATGAGTCATTGATTAGCTGCCTCCTGCATGCCCCCTACTGGGGATGGAGCCTGAAATCCTGGCATGTGCCCTGACTGGGAATGGAACCTCGATCTGGTTCATGGGTCGATGCTCAACCACTGAGCTACAGCGCCGGGCTTCATGTAACTCTTTAAGGTTAGAAATGTACCCTGTATATCCTTTTAATGCTCCCCTCAATAATCCATTATGGCTCTTAGTTGTGAATCCAGCTAGAAACATTTCTAAAATCTGTTCATGTTTCAATCAGTACAGCCTCTCCAAGGTGAGTAGTCATTTTTTTGTCTGCCTGAAAACTCTATCCAAGTTCCTGGGGTAACTTCTAAACTTAATATTACAAGGTAAATAATACTTTCTTTCACAGTGTTTAGACATATTTCCTATCTGGTATTTAGTAAGAAGATTGCAGGCTCTCAGGTCTCAAGATCTGGCTACTCTAATTGCTTACCAGTCAGGTAACCTTGAATAAGTTACCTTTTCAAACCTCAGTAAAAGCCCAAAAAATAATAGTCATTTTTTCATGGGGTTATTGACGAGGATCCAATGAGATCATGTGGTTGGTCAATTTTAGAGCAACTGACAAGATCTTAGTTGTTTCACCTACACACATTGATTGACCCTTTCCACCTGCATTGTGAATTGCTTGGGGACAAGGGTCTGTGTCTTCCCCTGTGCATTGATTCTCTGCAAATGCTTCCATTCTCTTTGCCTTCATCTCTACTGTCAAAGTCGGAGAATCTTGCTCTCTTCCACTCACCCTCCTGCAGGAGCTGCTCTATCTTGCTAGTGTTATTTTCCTACCCTGTCCTTTTTTCCAGCCAGTATGCAAAGAATGGGTTCATTAATATGCCCCTTTGAGCCCTGGCTGGTGTGGCTCAGTTGGGCATCCTCCAGTGCACTGAAAGAGGTTGCCAAGTCAGTTCCCAGTCAGGCACATGCCGGGGTTTTGGGCTCCATCCCCGGTAGGAGTCTTACAGGAGGTAGCCGATAGATGTTTCACTCTCACATTGATGTTTCTCTCCCTCTCGCTTTCTCTCTCTAAAAGTCAATAAAAAAGTGCTCACTTAGCACATATACTAAAATTAGAACGATACAGAGAAGATGAACATGCCCCCTGCACAAGGATGGCACGCAAATTCCTGAAGCGTTCCATATTAAAAATAAAAAAGAAATGCCTCATTGATAGCATTACTTACAGTGTGTGTTGGACAGTGTCATTAGCACATAAATAACTCCTTGGCTCTACACGGACTCTTCCAAAAAGTATAAGTGCTTTCTTATGTCCCAACCTGTTGGTTCTCACAGACTCACTAGAGATAACGGTATGATCTCTTGTTTTATCATCAGCTATCCAAAGTAAAAAGTCAATATTGGAGTCAGTTAAAACCCCACAGACATTGTTCTACAGAATGTGTGATGCAAAGTTTGTAACTGCGAAGGAACTGCGGTATAGAAAGAGCAGCCAGAAGGGGTTTGAGGCCTGGCTCTGCCACTTAATGGCAGATCCCTGAATTTCACTCATTTCCATTTTCTCAGTAGTTAAATAGGATAAAAATATTTCAGGGGCTGTGGAGATTAGATGAGAAAGGTTCTTATGAGTTCTCCGGTAACATTATTATTATTACTGAGATCCTAGCAGCATGGCCTCAGACAGGGATTGGCAAAGGGGAAGGAGATAGGAACACTGGTGCTGTGGGAACCTGTGGGTAATGGTCCTCCCTTCTCTGGAAGTGGCTGGCCTCAAAATTTTGGTTTTTCTAAGAATCCCTCTCTCCATGACCACTCCACCCTTTCCTACCTCCAGGCCTTTGCTCTCCCTTTTATCCTTTGAGGTGAGCCCTAGGCTCTTCCCTGAGGGTTTCCTGCCTTTAAGTGAAGTCTTCCTTCAGGATGCAGCCTTTAGGTGGTCCAAACCACTGGCCTCTCCCTCCTCTTTAATACTTTTTTTAAAAAAAATGTTTTTATTGATTTCAGAGAGAGGAAGGGAGAGGGAGAGATTGAAACATCAATGATGAGAGAGAATCATTGATTCACTGCCTCCTGCACGCCCCCTTCTGGGGATCAAGCCTGCAACCTGGGCATGTGCCCTGACCAGGAATTGGACTTCGACCTCCTAGTTCATGGGTCAGCACTCAACCACACCAGCCAGGCTTCTTTAATATTCTTAGTATTAGATGGATTTTAAGCTCCTTGAAGGATGGCCTGTGCCCTGTATCTTGAATGGTACTAATCTATAAAACAGGCACCATTTGCTAAAAGAATGAACAAATACTAATTTTTTTAACTTCTATCATGTGTCAGGCTTTGGTGTTTCAAAGTTGAGTAAGACAAAGTTTCTTCCCTCAAGGAGCTTACCATCTAGTGGAGTAATATAAGAGGCACTTGTGTTATCTTGTTTAATCCTCAGAGTAACCCGTGAAGGAAGCTAGAAGTTAAGAGATTTGCCCAAAGTGGTAAAGCCAGGCCAGTGGTAAAGCTGGTCTGAGAGGCAGTCCCAGAGGTGGAAGTCCTACTGCCGCCACCGAGTGCCTAAAGACTCACCCCTCACTTCCAAGGGTAGTGCCCAAAGCTTGGAAGGAGTTGGGGAGATGGCCATAGTGTGCATCAATGAAGAGCTCCAGCTCCTGGATCTAATCATATCCCAGCTCTGTCACTCATTAGCTTTGTAACCTTGGGCAAGTTACTGAGTCTCTCAGAGCACCAGTTTTCTCATCTGTAAAAGAAGAAGACTGTAGTGGGTATTCATTGTTTTTACCTGTACAACATCCAGTCCTACTTCTGCAAACAGCACTCAGGTGTTGCTTTCCATCTCCCTAGTTGTCAGTAGTATGGTGGGGGTGGCATGTTACTCAAGTTAGCCAGTCACTTGCTCTCTGGAAATGAATCTTCAGTGGGCGACCCAAAGATTGAATCCCACTGGAATTCATTCATCCAGGTGACAAAAATATCACTGGTCCTATTCCCTGGACCCCAGAGGCCTCTCTGGTTCCTTACCTTTTATGACTAGTTCTGCTTCTCCTTCCATTCTGTTAGCTCCCCACCACATCCCTCTTAATAACTTTCCTTTTTGTTTGAGTTCATTAGAGTCCATTTTTATTGCTTGCAACAACAAAAAACTTTGATCCAAATACCTACCTTGCAGTGTTGTAAGGATTAAGTGATTAAATGAGGTTTGTAAAGTGCCTAGCCCTCTCCTAGCAGCATAGCAATCAGTAATGGGTGGTAGTTGTCTACATAGTTAACATATGGGGGGGAGGGGAGATGAGGGGGCAGGGCACAGGGAGGGAGGGAGATTGTTATTGGTTTTGGTTCCACTGAGAAACCTTCCCCCAAGAGGTAGCTAGAAGGACAACAGAAGGGAGGGAAGTCCAAGCTATGGTATGCTCATTTATTCAAAATGTTTTTATTGAAATAGAATGATAGAGCAAGAAAGAATGAGGTCTGGGAGGATGTCTTTGAGCACAGGATGAAGCCCAGACCAGGTGGTTACAGTGTGGAGCTCTCTCCCTGTCCCCTGACTCTTGCCAAGGAAGTGAACACAAAGCAGCAGGGAGGGAATGGGGTTGGGGCAGCCCTCTGAGCTCTCCTTGATGGCTGGCGTGAGGGGCCTCTGAGCCTTATGGGCAGCCCTGCCTTCCTCAACCCTCCCAATGTCCTTATCAGGGCCTTATGTCACCTTTCTGTACGAGCCAGCCTCCTGCCAGGGTGCTCAGAGGCCACTCAGAGGGCAGGGTTGGGGGTGGCAAGCAGTGGGACATGGTCACAGCGGTTAGGGGGTGGCTGCCGTAGCAGAGAAGGCCGGCGGCACAGCTCCCCATCCCGGAGCACCTCAGGCAGGAGCTTGCGCTTGGTTTCGGGCAGAAGCATGATGCTGAGGATGCAGAGGAGGGCACAGGCTGCCAGCACCACATGCTGCAGGAAGGCTCCGTGGCCCATGTGGAGGCGCTGGGCTGGGTCACTCAGCCCTCCAAGTGCCCCCAGTGCCATGATCAGGCCCAGGCCTCGGCCCCTGGGAGAGATGGAGTTGGCATTCAACCTCTAGCTGTGGGTCTCACCCCAACCCTTCTCCAGCAGCCTTTCCTCCTCCATCCCTCAGGCTCTGTCCTTGGTGGGGGACCCGGAGACCTGGCCTTGCCCCTGCCCCTGGCAGCTCCCCTGCTCTCACCGGACAGTGGTAGGGATGACTTCAGAAGCAAGGAGGGTACTGAGGATTCCAGCGGCTTGGGAGGAGAAGAGGCCAAGGACAGAGAAGGTGGTGATGGCGGCCTCGTTCAGATCTGGAGGACCAAGAGGGAGGTGTGAATGGAGGCGGGAGACATGCTTGGCTTTGTCCCTGGCTCCACCCCCTTGCCCTCCGATCCTATGGCCAGCTGGGTGAACTCTGGGCATTCCCCGATTGGGAGAACAGACAGCATGCATAGCCAGTGGAAGGACTGTGGAGATCTGGGCAGGGGCTGGTCTTGTCTTTGAAGGCCTGTGCCGGAAGCTGTGGCTGAGCCTGTCTCAGATACCTCTGCCTGGGTTCCTTTGCTGAGCCCACACTATGGGGAGGGGAGGGTACTCACAATCCCACAGGCCCAGCAGTACCAGGGACGCAATGCCAGTGAGGGTCATCAAGAGAAGCAGGATGCCCCGGCGGCCAAATCGGTCCACGGTGATGCCCAGGAAGACGCAGGCCAGGGCCGCTGTGCCGCTGGCCAGCAGGGAGCCCAGGTAGAAGTCTGATGGGCTCCCTCCTCCTCCCACAGGCTGGTAGCAGTGACGAATGGCGTGGGCAATAAAGCTGTGAGAACGGGTAGGAAAGCAAAGAAGGGTGCCTGCATCCCCACCCGCAATCTTCCACGGCCCTGGCTGCCCTCTATGGGTGTCCTCAGACCTTCCCCACCCAGCCAGCCCCCATCCCAGCTACTGGCCTGGCCCTTGGCTCAGACACCCAGGCTCACTTGGTGAAGCCCAGGATAAGCAGATTCTTCCAGATGTTGCGGTAGTTGAGGAGCGATGCGAGCGAAAAGGAAGATGTTGCAGGGAGAGGTGAAGTGTTCTCCAGGTCTTTGGGAGAGAGAAAGGGAGGAGCTGTCTGTTAGAAGTAGCAGCAGAGAACCCAGGGTCCTCACACATGAGTGGTGGGGACCTTGGGAGAAGGGGCACAGCTATAACCATGCAGAGGGCATTGTCATGTGTGCACGTGAGAGATCATCTTTAGGGACCCTTGTCTTACCCTGCAGGGCCTCCTGGGCCTCTTCTCCCAGCATCTGCCCATGGGGCCGGTTCCGCTCAGCCAGGATCCTCAGCACCGACTGGGCCTCCTCAATCTGTCGCTTCACTATCAGCCACCGTGCAGACTCCAGAAACAGACCAGGCCAGCTGGGGGCAGGGGTGCAGGGTACACGGTGAAGCCTCCCATCTCCTGACACAGGGGTGGGAAACTGCCCCCTCTGAAGGGCTGGGGCTGGGGCAAGCCTGGGCGAGGGGCAGTGGAGAAGAGGGGGTCCTCTGGGCTACAGCTAAGCAGGAGGGGAAGGTGAGAGCGACCAGGCCGCAGGTGAGTGGTGATACTGACCCATAAAACAGGAAGAGGATGCAGGGAGCGGTGATCATTCGCTGCAGAAACCGCCAGTCCTTAGAGACAAGGGCCAGGCCGAGGAACAGGAAGTGCCCCCCCACCCCAACTAACTCCCCTGCCAGGGCCACCCGAAGCCTCTGGGTTGGGTCGCACAGCTCCAGGCCTGGAGATACAGCAGGGACAGGGAGGAGAGGTCAGGGAGGAAGGAGGGGGGAGGTGGAAGGGAGGACAGAGAGTGAGGTCAGACCCTGGGTGGAGGCTACATCTGTGGCCTCCCACAGACTAACCTCTGAATGGCAAAGAGTGGAGAGATTGTTCAGTCCTCTCCTCTCCTGCTCAAACCTGGGAGGGCTCGAAGGTCAGAGTCCCTGATAGGTGTTCAGCGTTCCCAGTTACAGGCCCTTTCACATCAGACCTTATTTGACCTTCATATCAACTCTTGTTCAAGGTCACACAGCTAGTTAGGATTTCATTTTTAAAATAAGACTATTCCCTGACAGCAGTAAGTCTAGGGCAAGGGAGTTCTTAAAGATAGTGGAGGGAGAGGGATGTGGAGAGATGCAAGATCCCTGGATTCTTCAAAGCCTGGGCAGAAAGACGGCTGAGATTCTGGACAGCTGAAATTTGGGGCTGAAGAAGGGACAGGGGACTCTATGGGGCAGTGGGAATGGCCTGGGATATAGAAAAGCAGAGGTGAGCCCCAAGGGAAGGACCTCTTGGAGGGTGCCACTCACGCATCAGGTAGACACCAAGGTCAACACCGGCAAGCAGGAAGCCCAGGAGGAATCGAAGGGCCATGACACCTGTGGAGGAGCCTGCAGCAGCCCCTCCCACTCCGCAGGGGCCCACCAGCCCCAAGGTCAGCAGCACAATCCCACGTCGGCCGAACCTGGAAAGAGTGCAGGGCCGCTGGTCATCGAGACTCCCTGGGGGAGGCATTGCTGAGTGGGGCCCAGCTGCCCAATTCACAGCTGGAGGTATGAGGATGGGGCCTTGGGAGCAAGAGCTGGACTGAGACTAGGGAATGTGGAAGGGATTGGCACCATGGGTAAGTGATGTCTGGCAACCAGGCACTGGGGTATTGCTATGGTCCTGTGGGGGTGGGACCAGACTCTTGTGGATGGGGCTATTGGAAATGCTGTGGGCATTTCTCCATGGAAGTGAGACCAATAATCAGAGGAGATGGGATATTGCTTAGGGGACTTGGAACCACTGATTCTTGGTTATAGAGGTCAGTTGGGATGAAGCTTGTCTTGCTCAGACTTGTCAGAGAAGATGGAGTTATTGATATATGTAGGGAGTTGGAGCTACTGATCAATGGAGGTGGGCCAATTGGCCACTTGTGCAAGGGGATCGTATTGGTCAGTGAGGATGAAGCTAATTGATCTTAAGGGACTGAGTAATTGATTTTGGGGGATGAGGCCATTGTCTCATGGGGTTGGGGCATGGGTCTATTAGTCCATAGGGATGGTCAGTGGAGATGGGGCCACTGGCCAGAAGATGGAGCCACTGATCCATGAGAATGGAGATAAATTATATCCATGGGGTAGGACTATGGATCAGTGGGGATAAGCCCTAACCTTCAAGATTGGGCAATTGATCTTTGGGGACGGAGCCATTGATTCATGGGGTGGGACTACTGGTCAGTGGGGATGAATCTATTAATCCATGGGGATAATCAGTAAGGATGGGGTCACAGATCAGGGGAAATTAGACTATTGGTCAGTGATGATGGATAGGGCTACTGAGCCTTGGAGGCCAGGCTGTGATCTTTGGGGATAAGACCAAAGACCTTTGGGAATGAAGATTGGGATCACTGGCCATTGGGAATAAAGCTATTGACCCAAAAGAGTGGGGCCATATTTCCATGGAGATGAGTTTATTGGTTAATAGGGTTAAAGCTACTGAATTTAGGAGACTAAATTATTGGTCTTAGGTGATGAGGTTATGATTTCATAGGAATGATGCTACTGGTCTGTGACAACGAGGCCACTAATGCATGAGGATGGGCTATTGACCTATGGATTTAGAGTAATTTGCCCACAGGGATGTGTGACTACTGGGCAGTGAGGATAGGTATTGATTTTAGGGAATTGTATTACTGAACGTTGGGTTGCTTTTGATCCATGAGAGTTGAGCTATTAATCCATTTAGATAGGACTGTAGATCAGTGGAGATGAGTCTAATAATCCATAAGGATGGTCAGTGGTGACTGTTGAGAATCAGAGGAGATGGGACCTTTGATTCCTGGGGAAAGCTATTGGTTGGTGGGAATGAGCTGATCCTTGAGATGAGGCCACTGATTCATGGAAATGGGGCTTTTGGTCTGAGAGGATCTGAGAGCACTGAAGACCCATGAAGATGGGACCTTTAATTTCTGGGGGAATGGTGCTATTGTGGTCATTGATCCATGGGGGTTGGACTATTGTCCCATGAGGGTAGAATCATTTGTGTATAGAGCTGAACTATATTAGTCAATGGGAATGGGGCAGTTGATAGTTAGGAATTAACATAATGATCTTTAGAAATGAGGCCATTGAGATGGAGCTAATAGTCCACATGGATGGGGCTATTAATGGGGTTGAGTCCATTAATCTATGAAGATGGTGAGGGAGGTGGTTAGTGGTGATAGGAACAATGGAGGAGGAGCTAAGATTTTTGATGTGTAGAGATAAGGTTTTTGGTCATAGAGATGGAGCTATTTATTGTCTTTGGAGATGATGCTGTTGGTCCATTGATATGGGGAATTGGGGTGAAGTCATTTTCTTGTGCAGAAGAAGTATGGAAGGAATATTTCCTGATGGGGAGTGCAACTGAGGCAGGGGTGGGGCTGCATATCATGGAACAGAAGAAGTCCGTTGAAGGCTGCAGAGTCCAGCCACTCCTCTTCGGCCTCTTGCCAACACCAGCTGCCTCGGCTAGCCTGCCTAGCACCCCCTCCTCTCTGCTTGCCCTGTCCCTGGCAGCCCTCACCTGTCCGCAGGGTAGCCCAGGAACAAGTATCCGGAGGCAAAGCCCAAGATGAAGAGGATCTGCTCCAGGATCACCTGCCAGCCCAGGTCACACACCAGATCCCACTGGGGATGTGAGAGGGACGGAGTGGGCGTGAGGCCCTGCGCTGGCGGCCCGCAGCCCGCCCCCAGACCCGCGGCCCACCCCCGCGCCTCACCTGGCCGATGGCATTGGTGGTGAGCACTGGCAGGCCGTTATAGTCCCAGTCCTTGAGACAGTGGTTGAAGTCCGGCGGGGCAAAGCCACTGCACGAGGGGTCTGTACTGGTGGCAACGCGGCTGGCGGCGCTGGCAGCAAGCGCCGGGCTGGCGACGCCGGCACTGCTGGTGTTGGGGGGCTGCTCCCAGCCAGAGGCGTTGGGGGCAAAGCCCCCGTAGTGGCAATGCAGTGGGGGCGCCAGCGTGAAGATGGGGTCCGAGGCCAGGCCCAGCGCCACGAAGAGCACAGGCAGGCAGCAGAGGCCGAGCTGCAGCTGCTGGCCCCCGCCCAGCGCCCCTATCTGGGCAAGCAGCGCCTCGAAGCTAAGGGGGCCGGGGGGCACGGCCAGCGACAGGCTGCTGCCCAGCCCGTCGCCGCCCGCGTCGCCCTCCCCCTCCCGCTCGCGCTCGCGCTCGCGCTCACCCTGCAGCTGCTCCGTGGGCACCGCATCTCCGAGGGT